CATGAACATTCTATCAACAAAACAATTTTGGGCTGGTTGACCACACCACACGGAAAAAAAAAGTTCGAGGATTATTCGGGAACTTCGTTCTTAACTCTTGGATACGGCGGGTAGTACACAGATAACTAAAGGTTGCCTCGTTTAAATATGTAATTTACTATTTCTCTACAAATTATAACTATTTCACCACTTCTCGGCAAACTGTTCTTGAAAAAGTCCATATTAGAGAAAAATCGACGGCGGCTGGAACAGAACTCGCGTACCCGAGAATAGAAGTCCGGCGTCTTATCTTTTTTTTTCTTTTCTTATTTATTTTTAACGACTCATAAAATACATAAATAGTACGAAGTAAATGAACAAAGCATTCGTATATAAATTTTTTTTTAATTTAATAACAATAGTTGTCGAAAACGGGCTTGCTAGTAGCCAATGTAAAAAACTCGTCGACAATAACCTTGGCTTTTAGTTGTTTTTTAATTTTTGAATATAGGTAAATATAATATAGTTTATATGGTATCTTTGTTATTTGTTTAGTGTGATAACTAGAAAAAGGAAGCGCTGCTCTACATGCACTCTTGAAAAACTAGTTTACATTTTATGAATTAATTTTTGTTTGTCTTATTAGACGGTGATTCGATATTCTTTATAATTTTTTAGTTATTATACATTTGTAGTTTTTTTTTTTTTACTTATTTTATTCCATTTATTTGATTGTTTATATTTTTTGTCATTAATGTATGACCGTCAATAAATACGAAAAAATAATTTCCTTAATTTTGTTTATTTGTTTGTTTTTTTTCCCTATCCTTTTCTACTTATGAATTTTAATAATGACTAGCTTTTTTATTTATACTGTGATCATATATACTTATAATCGGTTCTGTACTTGTGCATACAATCATACTTACACACATGAATTCCTGTATTGTCATGCTCACCCACGCTCACATATTCAATTTTATTATTATTCTTTCTCTTTTACTCCTTCCTTTTTTTCCCTTTCTTGTTCCTTATATTTGGAACTCAACAGTGTTAATGATGGCCAAACTGAAAGTCCAAGAGCACTTAATTACAGAGAGAGATGGATCCATGTCGGTCTGAATAACTTTTTTATTTATTTTTTTTCCCTTATTTTTTCTTTTATTTATTTATTTTTTTTCTTTTTTTAAATTGTGTTTCCGTAATTATGAGGACTGAGGCGACAAATTAATTATGGCTTTTGGAGCACGATGTTATGGAGTGATGTGAATGCTGTTTTCTTTTTTATAGATTTTTAAATACAAATCAAGTGTCAACACTACAACAAAAATAAATACAAATATAAAATAAAACAAAACAAATAAAAATAAAATAGAGGAGAGAAAATACCAAGTCATCCGCATATCGCTTGCCCAAGCATGAATAGGGGTTAAACTATGCTTGCGTGGTTTGCGAATGCAGGCGGCTTGCATCTCGCCCCTCTCCCAACCCTAATTCTGATGTAACCAATAATATTTCTCCCTTGATCTGTATTTGTTAACTTTGTCCTCCGTGTTTAATGCTGTGGAGTAACGCATTTCTTTTTCAGGATTATGTAGCAAATCCTCTGCTGATGGATTTTTTCCGAAGTGAAAATAGTATGTTTATTAAAATATATATTTAAGTTTGAAGTCAGACAAAAAATTTAGTGACTTCAGGTTGAGTTAATACTATCTAATATTTTAATAATATTCTAGAATGAATTTTTACAAAGTCGCAGTAATTGAACCCCAGTTACTGTACAGCTTGTTACACGGAGAAAAATGGTGCTGAATTTGTAGTAAAAGTTCCTATGGAATAGTAATAATTCTACTTTTATATTAAAAATTACTTTTTATTGTAAAATGTACTTCGCATGAAGTAAATATTACTATTTCTGGTAGTAAAAATTACTAATAGTAATTACTACATTAATCACTTTTAAAAATTGCTTTAAAAATTTAAATTTTTACATCGTCATTGTAAATTTTATTAAATTTTGTATTACTTTTTACATTCGATATGTTGTAAATATTACTTGTAGAAATTCTAATAATTAATACTGCGGAAAATAAAGATTGCTTCTGCAAGAAGCAACTTTTACTATTGCAGAACAAACTTTTTACTTGAAAAAGTAGTAATCCGTACCACTACTTCTATAGACCTGTGTGTGTGTGTGATGACGTCACTACTGTCATGCGCAGCGATCGTAGCCTGACGTCAAAGTCATTAAGATTATATAATACTATACTCCAAAGTTTTATATATTAAAATGTGCAATTCTAGTTTTGTATAAAATTATTTAGGGGAGACCGAGGTGAGTTGTAACAAAACCGTTTTCTCGAAAGCTATGACCTTTTAAAAATTTTGAAAAGCGTGAATTTTTTACATTTTTGATTCATTATTTGATGCAAATTTACTTGACCACCTGAGAAAAGTTTTTGAGATGTATTTAATATGTGCAAAAAAATTTCTTAAAGTAAGTTTTCGGTCAAAATAAAATTAGTGATGCCGCGAGACGAGACGATTACACGAGTTGTAACAGGCTGTTTCAACTCACCAAGGGTTAACGCAAATTTTTGTTAGATCGAGTAGAGACTGTTTGGATTTTTGCTAAAGTATATTGTTTTATATTATGGACTTAAAAGTATTTAGAATTTTACAAATTTTCGTGTAAATCACTTTCATATTTTCCAAAGGAAAAAAAATATTAATAAAAACATTTTTCGAGTTGCTCTTTCATATACAAAAGTCAAAAATAATTTCTATAATAGGTTTTTTTTGTTATTATTGAGCTTGTTGCTCATTTTTAATTTAGTTTTCGGTTTAATTTGATTTAGATTGATCTCATAAATTTTCTTGCTCTAATTACTCCTTAATTATTTAAAAATTCTCAGACAAAATTTTATTATTCTTAAATTTCTATAAAATATATTATATAATATTATTTTTAGCTTTTATAAAGCTCAAATTGTTATTATAGATCGTAATTAAATACCAAAGATTTGTTTAAAATATCTAATTAGTGTTAAAGAAAACGAAATATGGGATAACTTAATTCCAAAATCCAGTAAAAAAAAGTATTGGAAGAAAGCGAATAGTATTGGCGGTGAGTTTCTGCCAATACGTTTTCGCGTGAAAACCGTATTGGGGGCTCTTGAATCTTTCGATTTCACGTTCATTGACTCGACTTGAGTGTGTACTGTTGATCTTGATCTATTACCACATGATTTAGGGAGCTTTCGACGTTCGCGCTAGGGGCGCTGTGAGTATAAGTCACAGCGCTTATCTAGAAAATACCCTAAATCATATGGTAATAGACCAACAGTACACAGTCTGCTGTCCAATTTTATTTATTTACATTTTAACAAAGTTTTATATTTCCTGTTCGTTATCAGCATTTTTATACATTAAATCAATCAGTCTTTTTGATTAAAATGCCAAATCGAGTCAATGAACGTGAAATCGAAAGATTCAAGAGGACAGTATATATTGACGGTTAAAAAGCAGGATTGGCAGAATGCCCCCAATACGGTTTTCACGCGAAAACGTATTGGCAGAAACTCACCGCCAATACTATTCGCTCTGTTCCAATACTTTTTTTTACTGGGAAATAAATTAAGGTATTAAAACGAGTGTTCTATTCGTTTCTATTAGTAAGATGTCTTTACTAACTAATTAAATTTACTTTACTAACTAAACTAAGCATTAAAAATTAATGTTTTTTATTAAAATCACAAAATTTGCAACTGTTACAACTCACCTTGGTACTAGGCGAGTTGTAACACCGGGGACTGTTTTGGATTTTGCAATATTTTTGGAAACCCTTACAACTTTTTACATTTTTCATTTTTGATCCACATACTACACAAAACTACCTATCCAAAAATACAAAGCTCAATAAAAATAGAACAATTTTTGGCTAAGTTATACTGGATAATGTAAAAAATCGCTTTAACTCACCTCGGTCTCCCCTGTAACATTTATTGAAATAATTATTTTTTATTTTGTACAAAATCAGAATAAGGAATCTAAGAATAATAATCTAATAATTTAATAATTAAATTAAGTAATTTTAAATTAATAATACTGTCGTTTAGTATTATTAATGTTTATATTTTAATTCAGTAACTTATCTAAATAAATAAAATGTATGATTCACTTTATCAAAACCCGCATGTAGCACGTAATATTACAGTAACCTTATAGTACTCTCTAAATCTGAATTTTTGAAAATTCACTTATTTATAAGTGTATATGCACTTATTGATCGAGAAGACGACTTATAACGTAAAATAAGTAAAATTTCACATATTAAGATTTAGAGAGTAATATTACCCGTCAATATTACAGTAATATTACAGAAACATTACAGTAATATTATTGTAATATTATAGTAAAATTACATTAATGTTAAAGTAAATTTTTCGGAGCAAAATTAATTTAAAATTACAGTAATATTACACGAGCATGTAAAGTAAATAAAAATGGCTGTGAAATGCATATCTAATGAATAAATAAGAAAATTTTTTTTCTTATTTTATCATTGGAAAATAAACTTTTTTGCAATTTTTTCGTAAGTGTGTAATATTACAGTAATGTTACAGTAATATTACCGCATAATATTACTGTAATATTAATGGGTAGGGGAGAGTCTCCAGTTGTGAGACACCACCAGTTGTGAGACAGTCAATTTTTTTTAACATGTAATATTAAAAAGCCGATTGGTTTATATAAAAACATTTCTTTTTATATGAGCCAACTTTTTTGTGTACGCCGAAGTGGATATATAAACTGTTTTTGTTAAATACCAACACTGTGTGTGATAATCGACTAAAAAGCGTTTTTTCAATAAATGCAAAGTACTTTTTTTCCAAGTTAATTAATTGGAAAAGGTAAATGTAATGCATTTTCTTTTAGTGTTTTCCTTATATTTTGTGATGCAATATTGCATTGTTCCAATCTGCGATTGAAAATAATTTAATTTTCCTTTTTCAAAATAGTGCCAATTTCTGGGTGTGAGACACAGCATATCACCAGTTGTGAGACGGTGTCAACACCCATCTGGGCAGCATAAAAAATACGACTTTGCAGGCACACCCGGGTACCCGGGTAGCAAAATCCAAGTCGCTACCAAAGTACAGATCTGATGCAGACCTGTTATTCTAGATCTGGAACGGATCTGGAATTTTACATGGTCCAAAGCAGAAGCAGACTTGGTAACCAATTAAACAGCTCTATCTATATGCAGGTACCAAAAGTACTAAACCAATTGCACAAATAATGAAAAGTCGGTAAGCTGAAACCGATTGAGCCCTTGAACAGGTAGGAAAACAAGGATAGCGACGCGACGTACAGAAGTGTATTAAGAGAAAACCGAAATTTTAACTTTGTATTGCTATAAATTTCTCTTTACTATTTTAATGATCATTCTCTATATTTGAATTAGTTAAAAATAACTAATTTTCAGAAAAACATATCTGATTGTCAGTTAAAAATAACTGATATTTTAGTAAACTTATTTAACTGATTCAATTATAATTAAATAAGAATTATTAATTAAGCTTAATGAGATTAATTAGTGAGTAGCTCATAGTAGATAAACAAAGTGAGTTCTACGCGATAGTTCTCAAGGCTGCCGCTAGAGGCGCCACTGGCGCTGCAGTCGGTGAATGGCGCGCGTTTTTGAAATTAGTTCGCGAGGCCGCCACTAGCGCTGCAGTCGGTTATGGCGCGTATATTTGAAATTGTTAAATTTCTACCTAACCCTAATTTTTAACCTAACCCTTTTTACTAGTGCAATTTGCTATGTGTGAATCCGTGTGTTTGGGTATAAATATCCAGAATTCAATGGAGTTAGCATTCGTAGCAGCGTCTTCGAGTCAACCGGATCAACCAGCAGAGGCAGAGAGGGTCAACCAGCAGAAGCAGAGAGGATCAAGCAGCAGAAGAATATTATATGCAAAGTTGGAGAGAAGGAGAGAGCGAGAGAGAGAGTGAGAGAGAGAGAGTCCCAGCGTAGGAGAGAGGAGAGGAGAGCACCTTGGCGTGAGAGAGAGAAGGAGTGAGCGAGAGAGAGTCCCGGCGTAGGAGAGCACCGTCAGAAGGAGTTGACGTGAGAGAGAGTGAGAGGGAGATAGAGTCTCAACGCAGCGGAAAGAGAAAGGCTCCACCGCTACAAGTCGGCACTAGCTGTGACGTGTAGAAGGGAGACCCCGTTGAATGCTTAGGTGACGCGCAGCAGTAGGCAGCATCGTTGTAATTTTAGGTGGCAGCACCGTTCATTTTAGCAGCTTTTAAATACAATTTTCAGAGTAAGATTTTATATCAAAATTTGTTAAGACTTTATAGTTTGAATTATATCTTAAACAATATATTTAAACTATAAAATAAATTTTGAAAAACTGAATTTAAAAAAAAAATATTTTTTCTTTAAATTGTAGAATGGCTGGTAAACGACAGGGAAAAACAAACTTGAAGCCTGAGGTTGCAGAAAAGTTGAGAAAATCCAATTCATCGCTTCTTCAGGAGATTGAAAGTATTCTTCATGCTGCAGAAGATGGCTTTAATTTGGTGAACTCAACTAGAACGGAAATCGACTGGACTCAAAACATCGCAGGATGGATGACTACGTGTGAAAAATATATTGCGAATTTAAGGGAAATATTAAATGAACCTAATTCTTCAGCAGGAAGCCAAAAATGTCTTAACCTAATTCAGCAATTTATTTGTCTAAATACAAAGTTTGAATTTTATTTGAAACAAGGATTTGGAATGGGAGAAAATTCAAAAAAATCAGAATCTCCAGCTGCAGAAATGGATAACATTACGGATCGTGTTCGTTGGAGCAATTGCGAGAGTGCTTTCAAATGTCGTCTTCAAACTAGTTTCATTATTAACTTGATACATATAGATGTAAAAGCATTTTTAGATGATGCTTGCATACTTTTCGAAGAACATATCCCAGATATTATTAAGAGACATGGACCACTAAAAGTTTATGCTGTTCTTGCTGCAAAATTTAGGAAAGTTGCAAATGATGAAGAAAAAATTGAATCAAAATATTTCAACGTAAAAAATGAACAAATTTTCCCAACAACAGTTTTAAATGATTGGTACAACAAGAATATTAAGGAGCCAATATTGCAGAAAGTGGAGGAGTTTGCAGAGAAGGAATCACAATGGACTTTACATTCCATAATGAAATTAGAAATTAATATAAATAAGTACAATGCGATACGTGTAGGTTCATACATTGAGTTACCACGTCAAATAAAATTAAAAAAAGCTTGCATCAACGTTAGAAATTATGATCAAAAATGTTTCAAGTGGGCTGTGTTATCAGCTCTTCACCAACAAGATAATCATCCAACAGATCTCTCCAATTATTATGAATTTGAAAATGAATTAAACTGTGATGGAATAGATTTTCCTTTAAAACTAAAGGATATTTCGAAATTTGAGAAACAAAATAATGAAATCTCCATAAATTTATATGGACTGCGATTAAAAGGCAAGAATTTTATTACTGTTCCATTGCACTTGACTGCTGAGAAAAAGGAGAAGCATGTCAATTTGTTAAGAGTTGAAAGTCATTATGAAGATGAGGGTTCTAGTGATAATGATGATGATAATAATCAAGTCATCTCACTAGATTATCACTACGTGTGGATCAAGAATTTGTCTCGTCTCGTGAGTTCTCAAGTCTCTAAAAACAGAAGTAAAAAATACATTTGCGACCGATGTCTTCATTACTTTACCACGGAGGAAAAACTAACTAAACACGTAGACGAGTGTCAAAAATTAAATGAATGCAGAATTAACCTACCCAAACCCGGAAAGAATTTCATTTATTTTAAAAATCATGGAAATAAAGAAAAAGTTCCATTTGTAATCTATGCAGATTGTGAGTGCCTTCTAAAACCTGTTAGAGATGAGGAAAATAATACTAATACAGAAATTATTCAACGACATGAAATGTTGAGCATTGGATATTATATTAAATGCAGCTATGATGACTCACTTTCCGGTTATAATTCAAGTCCAGAAGGAGTGAATCCTGCCAAGTGGTTCTCCCAGGTGTTGCAGAAAATTGCTCAAAACGTTGACGCAATTATGAAAAATCCAATTCCAATGGATAGATTGACAGCAGAGGAAATTGAGAAATTTGCAGTATCAACAACATGTCACATTTGTGATGGGCAAATTTCTTCACTTGACAAGAAAGTTCGAGATCATTCACATTTAACAGGTAAATATCGAGGCCCTGCACATGAAGCATGTAATTTAAATTATCAAGATTCACGAGTAATACCTGTTGTATTTCATAATTTAAGTGGGTATGATGCTCATTTTATAATTGAAGATATTTGCTTAGAATTTGAAGGCAGAATTGAACTATTACCGTTAAATAAAGAAAAGTATATTTCATTTAGCAAGCATGTAAAAGGAACTGAAATTAAATTTCGATTTATCGACTCTTTCAAATTCATGGCATCATCTTTAGAAAAATTAGCATCATACCTTACAGAATATAAAATTGTCAAACAAGCTTTTTCTAACTTCACTTTAGAGGAAATAAATTTATTAACACGTAAAGGAGTTTTACCTTACGAATATTTAGATAATCTAGTAAAGTTGAAAGAAACTAGATTACCAGATAAAGAAAATTTTTATAGTACATTAAATGATAGTGGGATTTCTGATGATGATTATTTACATGCTCAACGTGTATGGTCTACATTTAATTGTTCTAATCTCGGAGAATATGTAGATTTATACATGAAAACTGATGTCCTGTTATTAACGGATATCTTTGAAAATTTCAGAGATCAATGCCTACTCGCTTATGGACTTGATCCTGCTCACTACTATACAACACCAGGATTGACGTGGGATGCGATGTTAAAATGTACTAAAGTGAGGTTAGAACTGCTTACAGACATTGATAAGCTAATGTTTTTTGAACGTGGTGTGCGAGGAGGTATTAGTCAATGTAGTAATCGTTATGCTTGTGCTAATAACCCTTTTATGGAAAATTTTAATGAGAATGAGGAAATCAAGTATATTATGTATTTTGATGCAAACAATTTGTATGGGTGGGGTATGGTTCAACCACTTCCTTATGGTGGATTTGAGTGGATTCCGGTTTCAGATGATTTTGATTTTAATATTCAAGATGATGAAGCTTTTAGCTACATTTTAGAAGTTGATTTAGATTATCCGCAAGATTTGCATGACAGTCACAGTGATTTCCCATTTTGTTCTGAACACACAAATCCACCATCAGAATTAAAGCAAGCGAAACTTTTGACAACTTTGAATCATAAGCGGAAATATATTATTCATTGCAGGGTATTGAAACAGGTTATAGCTAATGGGTTAAAGTTAGTAAAAATTCATAGAATCATGAAATTCAATCAATCAACATGGCTTAAGTCATATATAGATTTCAATACTTCGATGAGAGCTAAGGCAAAAAATGAATTTGAAAAGAACCTTTTTAAACTCATGAATAATGCTGTATATGGAAAAACGATGGAAAATGTTCGGAAACATGTCGACGTTAAACTTGTAACTAAATGGAATGGTCGCTATGGTGCTGAGGCTCTCATTTCCAAACCCAACTTTCACAGTCGGTCAATATTTAATGAAAATTTAGTAGCGATTGAACTTAGAAAAACAGAAATTTTAATGAACAAACCAATTTACATTGGCTTTTCGGTACTTGATTTGTCAAAGATGCTTATTTATGACTTTCATTATGATTATATGTTAAAAAAGTATGGTAAATCTTGCAAATTGATGTACACAGATACGGATAGCTTAATTTACGAATTAAAATGTGATGACATTTTTGCTGATATGAGGGAAGATATTCACAAATTTGATACGTCAGACTATCCAAAGGATAATATTTATAATATTCCGCAAGCCAACAATAAAATACTTGGACTCATGAAAGATGAGTGTAGTGGAAAAATTATTACTGAATTTGTTGGCTTGCGGAGTAAAATGTACAGTATTCGTGTAAATGGTCAAGATTTTACGAAAAAAGCAAAAGGTGTAAAAGCATCAGTTGTGAAGAAAGATATAGAATTTGATGATTATATTGATTGTTTACATAACTATTCAATTCAAATGAGAACTCAACATGTTATCAGATCACGATTACACAAAGTTGAAACTGTTAAACAAATTAAAGTAGCTTTAAGTCCGATGGATAACAAGCGTTATTTGTTACCAGAAAGTAGCGACACTCTCGCTTGGGGACATTATAAAATAAAGAGAAATGATGATGAAGTATGAATGTCAACGACTTGTCAATGTGTGTATGTGTTTGTGTGTTCAAATGTAAATAATAATATTAAATAAACATATACTTGTAATATGTATAATTGGTTTTATTTATTTATTACCTTAAAAGTTTTACATTTATTTTATTAATTTAACATTGATGTATAATTAATTCATTATTAATTCATTGTTGATTCATTATTAATTCATTGTTGATTCATTATTAATTCATTGTTGATTCATTATTGATTCATTAATGATTCATTATTGATTCATTATTGATTCATTATTGATTCATTTTTGATTCATTGTTGATTCATTATTGATTCATTGTTGATTCATTATTGATTCATTAATGATTCATTAATGATTCATTGTTGATTCATTAATGATTCATTAATGATTCATTGTTGATTCATTATTGATTTATTAATGATTCATTAATGATTCATTGTTGATTAATTAATGATTCATTGTTGATTCATTGTTGATTCATTAATGATTCATTGTTGATTTGCTTTATCTATCCAACTATTATGAGAATTATCAAAGCCTAACCATTTTACAAATATTTTATTTCCACGAGTCTTTAAAACTTTTTCTACAAGATATATATCCGCATATTTTACTTTAAGAAGTTCCTCTTCATAGAATCCACCACTGATTAGTTGATCTTGGTAATCCTTGAGTTTGTAAGTCACAGGTGTAGTTGATGCAATTTTGTCAATGGTAAATATTTCAGTTGTCCAATTTGGAGTATAACCTTTTTCAAAGACGTTTTTGAATTTGCTGACTCGTACGTTATCACCAATTTTAAACTTTGGTCTTCGCTGCGGTATTTTCCTTAATTTTAAAAATCTTCCTTTTAAAGTATCAACATCTTCTGAAGTTACATCTTTCGGTTTCATTCCAATTGTTCGATGTTTGGAATCATTATAATTAGCAATCAAATTTGATAATATATCATACCACTTGTAATTGCCTCGTAAACTAAACTGCATCCACTTTTTCCTCTTGAGTGTTCGATTAAATCGTTCAACAATGGACGCTTTCAGATTACTGTATGTTGAATAAAAATTAATTTTATGCATTTTCATTAATGCTTCAAATTGGGAATTGTAGAATTCTTTTCCCTTATCTGAATGCAGGTTTTTTGGAATACGTTTCTTTGCAAATATAGATTTCATTGCTTCAACAACATCTTTTCCACTTTTACTCTTTACTGGAACAGCCCAAGCATACTTTGAGAAAATATCTATAACTGTAAGTAAGTACTTAAATCCTTTATTTACTTTAGAGTAGGGTATCATTTCTACTAAATCAGCTTGCCAAGTATCATCAATACCACGCATTTCTACTCGACGTCGAGGATAATTTTTTCGAGCTTGTGTATGAAGCTCATGCACTACTGTTAATTTTTTATCATTCATTTTCCAAAGTTCTTAAACGAGCATCCAATTCACTAATTATTTCAGCGTTTCGATATGACAAATCTGGACTTATTTGTCTTTCAATATTTTTTAATTTCTCTGCTACAGAGTCCCCAAACGTCTTTATCAACACTTGACTGTCGTCAACAATTAAAATATTTTTATTTAATTGCTTTTCAAGGTTTCTGATGTCACTTTCGAGAGCTCTTAAACGAGTATCTAATTCACCAATAATTTCAGCGTTTCGATAGGATAAATCTTGATTTATTTGTTTTTGAATATTTTGTAAATTTTCTACTGTAGACGATTCAATAATTTTTAACAAAACGTTACTCTTATCAATATCTGATCGTAATGAAGATGTGATATCATGCACTGGTCTTACTTCGTTTTCTATCATACTCCGAGCAAGAAATAAATTAACTACGTCTCCCTCCTCTTCAGCATTTGCAACGCTGCAAATTCTTCTTCCTTCAACTTCGTAGTCGCCTTGTGAATTAATCTTAAAGCCAACTCCTGGTGGTCCAGGTCGTCCTCTTTTTGCTACAGTTGTTCCTCCTCGATTAAGAGGATGTCCGAATACATCGATGCTCATTTTGAAACTGATCTCAACTCGAGAAAACAATTACTAATATATAATTTTAGCTTCCCGTAACTCCTCAATAATGGACATAATTTCATTATTGTGACTTGGATTACCAGCTTCTTGAGATGCAGTAAGCAATTTTAAACGCTCAACTAACTCATTTGGATCATCCCAATAAATGTAGTCTGGTTGAAAATTTTGCTTTGTAATCATAAACTTTGGAAGAGATGTACCAGTTTTTAATTGCTCTTTAGAAGTTCCATTATTATTAGGAAAAAGTTTGGATATAATATTACTGTACTTTAAACTTTTACTTGTATTGATGGGTTCAGAAGATTTATATTTTCTTTTGTGTGCATTTGACATAATAAGAATTTGTTTATAATTATTCATGTCATCTTCTCTAATGTATGCGACTTTTGTTTTATTTTTAAATAAAAGTTCCAACAATCCAGTGGTAATATTAAAACGTTTGTTTCCAACATTTACAACATTATCTTTAAAATATATTGGTGTATCACCCATCATAAGCGATCCATTTTCATTTTTGTGTACTTCATAAATTTGATCCAAACATTGCTTTCTATTGTGATTTATCAAGTAAATATATTTTCCTAGTACTTTATCATAGTCAAAGTCTGGAATTATTGTTTTATCAATCTCATTAGCATTCATAAAACCCATAAAATCATCTTCAACATCATCATAATCATTTTCACCATTATATTCCTCTTCAACTTCAACTTTCTTTTCTCTCTTTTCAATGTCGGCATTTTCAAGTTTAATATCATTTATAGAAATAATTTTTTGTAAAGGTTCAACTATAGGTTTGAATGTTGTAGTCAAGATATTTTCAGCATCTTCTTTTCCTAATTTAAACATGCGATGCTTACGTCTTATTGCCTCACTTGCTTTGGCAATTTGACGTAAATATTCTTTTTCTTTATTATACATCTTGATGTAACAAGGTCTCAACTTGAACTAAAATAAATTTAATAATTGTTCTTATTTATAGTGAAACAAAACAATCAAAACCTTTCCTATATCTTCCTTCATTCATATTTCTATCCTTATCAATTACAACAAAGCCATATTTGTCAGAATTCCAACAAGCTGAACACAATTCTCGAAATTGAGAAAATGTCATATCCGTATTTACATGATCATCATACACATGCTTTAAATTCTTTTCATCTTGACGAAAAAGAACTAGCAAATTAACATTATCTCGCACCAAATGTTTTGGAATTCTTGCATAAGTATGACATAGATAGAAACTATCTATCAACACTTACATGTCTACCCATGCAAAAGAAAGCCCTTATATTATCTTGCTTTTCACACGCAACATCATCAAATATAAATATAGAATTTGGCTTTGCATTTTGAGGAGAAATTACCTCTTCATGTTCACTAAATGGTAAATATTCAACCCCATCAACTTTACTCACAACTTGCTCCAAAAATTTATATTTTGGTTGTTGCAGTGATTTTGAGTAAAGATAAATATTGTCAAATCTTAAACCATTAGGATCTAATATTAGAGATAAAAGTACATTTGTTTTTCCACAATTAGATGGTCCACAGAATATACCGCGAATACTACCCGATAGTAAACTACCATGACGTTTTATTTTTTTCTCTTGTTGTTCAACAATGGTATCCAGATTTACAACTGGAAGTTTTTGAGGTTGTTTATCGAATCGCATCATGAGGCAGACTGATGGAAAAGTATAAATATTGGGTTTATATACTTTTCAAGTCATTCTAATCTCAACTGCCGTAGAGTACAGTATGATTGTACATCGCAGAATTCGAGGTAAAGGTCTAGTTAATAGTCTCATTAATAAGTTGCCATTTGAATTTCATCTGCCTGGTTATCAATACTGTGGACCAGGCACAAAATTAGCAAAACGTTTAGCACGTGGTGATCTAGGAATAAATCCTTTAGACGCAGCTTGTAAGCAGCACGATATTTCATATTCTCAGAATCGAGAAAGCGTTGAAGCAAGAAACATTGCTGATAGAGTCCTAGCGGATAAAGCTTGGCAACGTGTTTGGGCTCCTGACGCAAGCTACGGTGAGAGAGCTGCAGCTTACGCAGTAACTAACGCTATGAAAGTAAAATCTAAATTTGGTATGGGTATTGAAGAAAGAAGAATAAGAAAAGAAGTAGAAGAAGAAACAAGAAAAGAAAAGGAATTTGTAAAAAACGAACTGCATTAACAAAAATTCTTACTGCTGCTAGAAAATCAATAATTCCTGGAAATGATGCTCGAACCACAATTCTTGCTGCTGTTAAATCTGCTAGAAAAGCTATCAAGGAAGCAGGTGGTAAAAAGAAAATTTCACCACCTCGCATTTTATCAATACCTTCAAAAGTTGGTGGTATCTTACCATTAATTCCAATATTTGCTGGTTTAAGTGCTCTTGGAGCTCTTGCTGGAGGAGCTGCTGGAATAAAAAAAGCTATAAATGAAGCGAGTGCAGCTAAAGAACAATTGAAAGAAGCTCAACGTCACAATAGAACAATGGAATCTGTTGCACTTGGAAAAGGGCTTCATTTAAAACCATATCGACAAGGGTTAGGACTTCACTTAAAACCCTATCAAAGAGGACAAGGAATGCATTTAAAACCGTATCGACAAGGGTTAGGACTAAACTTAAAACCCTATCAAAGAGGACAAGGAATGAGAAAAAAAAAAACGTAAAAATTCCTCAACGTGCATTAACAAACTATGATTTACTCAAGTACTCTAAGGAGTTAAATATTCCTTATTTTCGAGGTGTTTTTATGCGAAATGAATTACCAAAAAGAGGACCTCGAAAGATTGAGTCAGCGATTATTAACCTTGACGATAAAAACGGTCCTGGAACACATTGGGTAGCATATAAAAAGGTTAATAACAATGTAGTGTACTTTGACAGTTTTGGAAATCTTCAACCACCATTGGAGCTTGTCAACTATTTTGGTGATGATATTTTAATAATGTATAATTATGAAAATTATCAAGATTATGGTACTTTTAATTGTGGTCATTTGTGTCTCAAATTTTTATGTAAACAAATTGAAGTGAATAAAAAGTCTATATAAATGAAGTAAAAAAGTTTTATTAATCAGTTTTCAAAAAGACTTCATCATGGATGAATCGTTTACTATAACAATATCTGGTAGTTCATCGGTATTAGAGGCTGAATATTTTCCACCAATTGAATTATTACCTAAAAAAAACTATATTCTTGGACTTGTAGAACTTTTAACATTCAATTCAATTCCTAATATTGATGAAGGAAAGAATAAATTTTATATTGGTAATCAAGTAATCACTATTCCACCTGGCAGTTATGAAATTGAAGATATTGAAAAATATATTCAACATTCTGTTGCTAATGGAACTAAAGCTATAAGTATAAAACCTAATAATAATACCCTACGTAGTGAAATACGAAGCAGTCTTAAAATAAATTTTGAAAAAAAAGATTCTATTGGACAGCTATTGGGATTTGCACCACGACAATTAGAACCTAATAAAACTCATACATCTGATTTACCAGTATCTATACTCAAGGTAAATTCTATCCGAGTAGAATGTAGTATTACAACTGGTGCATATATTAATAATAAAAAAGTCCATACCATTCACGAGTTTTTTCCAATAGTACCAGCTGGATATAAGATTGTAGAAGTACCTTCACACGTCATTTATCTTCCAGTCGCCGTGAAGACAATACGTAATATTCAACTCAGAATTGTTGATCAGGACGGAGATTTAGTAAATTTCAGAGGTGAAACAATAACAATTAGACTACACGTGAAAACAACGTAATGGGCATTGTGTTTGACAGAAAATCTGGTGGAAGTTATATAAACGAGTCAAAATGTCAGAAAACATTCAGTCTCGATCCAGTTCGCAAGAGATTAACATCTCAGAACATACGTTTTCTGAAACAGCTCGGTCTGAAAATTCGTCAAGAGAGAAGAAGAAGAAAATAAAACCTTTTATTAGTGCACTTTTTATTTGCTGTTGTTGCAATCAAAATGGCAGAGACTTTGAATATACTAAGCCCTGTGAAATATGATGATTCATTAGCACATTATGAGATTCATTCTCATCAACCATATGTTTCATCAGCATTTAATAACAGTGATGAGATTAGAATTGCAGTACAACATCAAGATTTGTATATTTTACCCTGTAAAAGTACATTACATATACATGGAAGAATTTCAAAACCTGATAATACCAATGTCACAAACACAAAAATAACTAGCAATGGAATTTGCCATTTATTTAATGATATACGTTATGAACTTAATGGTGTTGAAATTGATGGTTGCAAAAATGTTGGTATCTCAACCAACATGAAATTTTACATTTCACAAACACCTAATCAATTTATGTATGCTGAGAATGCTGGTCATCTAAATTTTGATGATACTAGTAGAGTAACGGATGATGCTGGATATTTTGATGTAAATATACCATTAAGCATGATTCTTGGATTTGCTGAAGATTATCGAAAAATTGTTGTAAATGCAAAACATGAACTTATTTTAACAAGATCTCGTACAGATCTTAATGCTGTGGTTAATATTCTTGGAGTTGAACGTGAAGAATTTAAAATTGTAATTAATAAAATTGAATGGATGATTCCATATTTGTTTGTTGGTGATCGTCAAAAAATTGAATTGTTGAAATTTATTGAAAAAGATCCACTTATAAGTATGAGTTTTAGATCATGGGAACTGTATGAATATCCACTTATACCTGCAACTCAGAAACATGTCTGGACTGTAAAAACATCTACACAGGTTGAGAAACCTCGATATGTTATCCTTGGTTTTCAAACAAATAGAAAAGATAATCATGCAAGATATGCAAACCTTTTTGATGCCTGTAATCTCGTGAACGTAAAACTTTTTCTAAACTCACAGTACTATCCATATGGTAGTTTAAATTTAAATTTTAATCAAAACAAATTCTCTATACTCTATGACATGTATTGTAATTTTCAAACATCATATTATGGAAAAGATTCTGAGCCCATATTATCTAGAAAAGATTTTAAAGATTATGCACCATTGGCTGTTATAGATTGCTCAAAGCAAAATGAATTTCTTAAACAAGCTTCTGTAGATGTGAGATTGGAATTTGAATCTAGTGTAAATTTTCCCGCCAATACAGCGGCATATTGCTTGATTCTTCATGATCGTATTATACAGTATAAACCAATCAGCGGTCTGGTTAAGAAAGTAACATAAGTAGTGGGGGTAAACCGCTAGTATAAAAGTGAAGAATTAACACAGAAATTCTCATTCTGCTGCAACCATGGACTTCATTGTGGACATCCAAGGCTTCAAGAAACCCTACAACGACTTCATCTTCAAGGAGCTGGCCATTATTCCTCTCGAAGAAGATGCTCAACCGATGGTATTCCTGTTTGAACCACCATGCAGTTGGAGTTCTCTACCTGGACGATATAAGAGTGAAAATATGTGGTTGATGCACAACTATCATGGACTAAAATGGACTGCCGGCGATGTGCCATATGACCAATTACAATCACTTCTACAAGATTTGTTAGCTGGTGCTCGTACGATTTATGTAAAGGGATTGGAGAAAAAGAAATTGCTTGAAAGATATGTAATTAATGTACGAAACCTTGAAGATTTTAATTGTCCTTCGCTTAAAAAACTTAAATTGGAATCATCGGCATATGTATGTACCTACCATACTCTATGTAATAAATGGTGTGCAGCAAGTAATGGATTAATGTTACGAAATTGGTTTTTCAAATCTGCAAAGGAATGTTTTGTAAGAAATGTTGATGGAGGTGTTGATGAAGTCGATAATGACAGTGAATATTTTACTGCGAGTTCTACTGAATCGCTTAAAGAATATTATGAAAGTTCTAAACATTTATATTAATAAAAAAAAATTTTTTTTAAAGAAATTATAAGAATTTGTCTATAAATTTTATCCCATCATATTAGTTTAAGACTATTGCTCATGCGCAAAATATAAAAGTAGGGTATAAATTGAGTCGTCTTCAGTATATATGCTCATTAATCGTTAGACAGTTTATACAATAACAATGAATTCTTCAAATCAACAAAAACCAGTGCCAGCACCAAGGCAGCCAAAACCAGTGCCAGCACCAAGACAATCAAAGCCAGAGCCTGCGCCAAGGACACCAAAACCTGTGCCAGCACCGAGAAAAAAGTAAAGTGGGGATATTTCATAGAGTGGGGGTAACCGTGATGAGTGGGGATCAACTCTCTTGAGCATATAATTCTGCGCAATTTAGAGTGGGAGAGAAAATGAATTGGTGGGGTTATCTCTCTCCACGAAAGCCTTTAAAAGGGAACGCGAAAAGACGATTTCTCATTCAACTGCTCCAAGCTGAACGGCAACCACCTCCAAGGACAAGCTGAACGACAGACACCTCCAAGGACAAGCCTGAGAAACAACATGGACTTCCAAAAAATCAATGCTGTTGGACGGATGGAGAGTAAATTCTTGCCCACGAAGCCGCTGTCCGAGCTATCTGCAGGAAGCGAATTCACGGTCACAAAGCTCAAAAAAGTTCAATCCAAATATGGAGATAGGATTGTTGCTGAATTAAACAAAAGTTTCAACATTTTCCTGCCTGCCAGATTTTACAAAGTATTTGAAGTTGAGAGCGCCACCTGGATAGCAATGCAAGATGCAGCGGTGAACAATACTCTAACATTGGTCTACCTTGGAGGACCGTATAATAATATTGAATTCAAAAACAACCATTTAATGTAAAAAAAAGAAAAATTTAATTTTTTAATGTCAATTAATAAACAAAAACTATGAATTTAACAAAGTTTTTATTATTTTACCTCAACATAATCTTATTTTAGTAATAATAAAGCACACATTTCAAATATAAAAATTTATTTCAATAAAATATTTTTTTCTATATATAAACAGCATTTTTTTTAAATGGAAAAAAATTATCTTAACCTAATTTCAGTCTGAATTTGACAACAATAATACAGTTTTTTAATAAAATAATTAATATATATATATAAACAATGAATCTTATTCTAATCTAAATATAACTTTGGTGTAAATAATGAAAAAAAATTAATATAAAAAAAATAGAATTTCTTAACCTAATAAGTACACATTTGGTATAAAAAAAAGTAAGTCTTTATAAAATCTTTATAGAATATAAAAAAATATAGAAAAATTAATATAAAAAAATAGTTTCTTTTATCCTAATAACCTCACAATTGGTATAAAAATAATAACTTTAAATACATATTAAAAAAAAACTATCATATAAAAATACCATGAGTAATACTAATTTTGCTTTAAAAAAATGTAAAAGAGAAGCGTCTCACTTTGAATCGTCTTTGGTTGGCTTTGGTTTCTTTAATTGTAATGTTGTATTTTTGTTTTTTAATGCAGTGATTTCAGTCTTTTTTTATTTTAATTGTTTTTTGTCTTGGTGGAGTTTTTTTTAAGGGACTTATTGGAGCTGCGGGTGGAGTAGGGTGTGTTGGTACAATTAAACCGTCTATCTGTTCTTTGGTTGGTGTTCGTGGAGGTGTCAGTTTCTTAGAATTTAATTTTATATTTCTTTTCTGTTCTGTATAAAAAAAATCAGGTGTTTGTGTAGATTTGGATGTAGATGGCGTTGGATTTAATGGTGATGGTGGTGAGTCGGGTGTGTATGATTCTCGTAATGGTGCTAAATTATTGCCGATTTGTTCGTGGAGTGGTGGTGACATTGGTGATAGTAAAAAGGTGGTAATTTTTTTTTCCTTTGGTGGTGCTGGTAGTAAAAATGTAGATGGTGTTGGATTTAATGGTGGTGGTGGTGAGTCGGGTGCGTATGATTCTCGTAATGGTGCTAAATTATTGCCCATTTGTTCGTGGAGTGGTGGCGACACTGGTGATAGTGAAAAGGTGGTAATTTTTGGTGGCATTTCAATTTTATTATGTAAAATCAGTCGAGTACGATGTGGAAAAAGATTGTTGGATGTAACAAAAGATGAACCCATTTCTTCGGGAATCGGTTGAAAAATTTCACCTTCTACGGGTAGCGGAAATCGTGCAACCGGTTCTGCTACTGGAGGAAATTGGTCCTTGTCCTGTTAAAAAAATAAATTTTGTATGAAAAACGAAAAAAAAATAGTTTCATAACTTTATTGCAGTAAAAGAACCATTATTCTATAAGAGTGAGAGAGAAGGAAACACCTTAAGATTACTCTTTCTCTCTCTAACACATTGCGTAGTCTTACGTTCACAGCTTGGACACTGCTTGCGTAGGCAACCGCAACGAGAGTAAGAGAGAGTATCTCTGTCTCTCTCACACCAATGCGTGCTGCTTTACGGTACACCCACAGCTTGTTACCGCTCACGCATGCATTCAAGCGGTTGCCAAGTTCTGAATGCACCTTAAGTCAAACAGCATAAGAGTCTACTCACTACATGTTACACTATCTATGTTTTAAAAATTTGAATTTAGAAAAACAAATTATTGTTTTTAATAATTTATTCTATTAACTTTAAAATATATTTAACGTTTAAAAAAAAATCTTTAACTTACAATTTCTTTGACGTAGGCAAATGCTTTCTCTCCTGAGTTTATGTGCTCTGGCAATATTCTCAGGTCTGGTATGCGCGGTGCTTTCGAAATATACCTGCCAATTTCCTCCTGTCGCAGTTCCTGAGGAATCTATAATATTTATGTTTTTATTAATTTTTAAAAATATTTACATCTAATTATTATTATAAAAAAATTGTTAAAAAATAATAATACATTTTTTTTCATTTGTTTATTAAAATTTGTTAAACTATAAAAATAATTCTTAAAAATATTACTTATTACTTTAAATTTAAAACATAATTTTTATTATTATTTTAATTTTAATAATTTATACTCGTTTCTTGTTTTAATATTTTCATTAAATATAACTAAATATTTTAAAAATAATTATTAAATACTTACTTCTCGAGCTCTCCTTTGAAATTCTTGTTGTAAAGTTGTTATTAACAACACATTAGCACCAAATGTAAATTTTGGTAATGGTAAATCCATTACCTCTCTGTATCCATTTCCCGATTTTCTTGGATCTTTTAAAACAGTGTGTGTCACAGTCGCAGTCACTTTTGCTCTTTCCATTTTTTTAATTTTTTAATAGTAACTCTAATTTTTTATAATAATTTTTAATTTTAAAAATAAAAGAATAATTTTTTAATAACAATTATAAATTTTTAATGCTAAATACAATAATATTTACGAGAATTTAAAGTTAAATAATTCTCCTATAAAAAAAAAATACTATTCCAGTCGAAAATTGCTTTAATACTGATTTCATTCATTACATCTCTATCATGTTGACAGATTTGTTTATGTGTTCCTAGAATTTGAAATTTGATCAAGGGCCACATACTTGAAAATTTTAGAGGGTTTTGTCTATATATTTTTTAAAGGTATATTCGAATGAAAAATCATATACATGAAATGGACAGCGCATGTGCGACGGGCCTGATGCTTTAAGCTAGTCTCATGAGTATGCTGCCGCATAGCTTTAAGATAGTCTCACGTTGCTCTGACGTCACACTGGCAGCCGCAACTAGTGTAAGAGAGAAAGTTACTCTGTCTCCCTCACACCAATGCGCTGCGTATAACGGTAGGCTCACAACTTTGTCCAACAAAACTGCGCCACAGCGGTGATTTAGGGAAACACAATCGATCGATTTTTTAAGTGACAATCAATAGTGTAATCTATACAGTATAGCTACAGTCTTGATCTTTATTTTTAATGTTAGCAGAAGTCAATGTGCAATGTTTTTGTTTACAACATGAGTTTTATTATTAATGATGAAACGTTTAAACGATAAGTATAATTTTATAAAAATTAGTTAATTAAAAATTATTATTTTAAAATTGTAAAATTATTATTTCCTTTGTAAACAAATTACTTCTAACCTTAAAAGATTTTGTATTATTTTCAATGTTTTGATATTTTTAATGGAAAATTTTACTTTTTTTATAAAGAAATTAATTGCAAATAATGAATTAATAATAGTTAAATAATTTGCATTCTTTATTTAGAAAATTATTTTAAGGTTATATTCTTCAAAATTTTAAATTAAAAATAGTTTATGAATTTGTATAGTTTAGTTTAAAAATGATTTTGAGGTTATGTTTATAAAATAGTTTTAGGTTATGTAAAATGTCAAAAGTATATATATATTTTCTTGAAAAATAATTTTCTTTTTTTATTTAATATTTATAGATTGACATTTTTTTTTTTGTTTGTAGTTGAGAATTGAAAAAGAGTATTGTTATTTAAAAAAAAATATTTTAATATTTTTATTTTAAAAAATGTAAAAAAATATACTGAATTTTTTTCTTTTTTAAATTTTAGATGAAAATTCAAAAAAATTTAAATTCGTAAATTTTGATGGGATCGACGATGATGATGATGATGATGATGATGATGATGATGATGATGATGATGATGATTACGATCACGACGATGATGATTGCGACGATGATCATGACTCTGACGACGACGATGATGATTATCTCGAACATGATGCCTACAGTAATGGCAACGACGATGATGCCTACGGTCCCTGCGCCTACGCCTGCAAAAACATTTGGTACACTCCTCTGATATATTCTCCTTATCCTCATCAAATCCAGAAGTAGGAACTCGAATTGGAGAAATAGCTGCTTCCGGAGTAATTGGACGGACTGGTGACATACTCATTGCTCGAAGCTGAAAATTTTAAAATTTTTATTTTTCATACTATACTCGAAAAAAGTATGAATTTTCTTTTAAAATTAAAAAAAAATTACATTTTCAGCTTCATCGTCTTGTTGATCCGTCTGTGTAGACGAATCATGGACCCAGACAACACTCAAGTAGCCTGGAACATCATCAACAGCTCTCGACTGCTCCGGAACATCATCAACAGCATCGTCAGAGTCTTCCCAATTCAAAAGTTCCTCATCCCGGTACAGAGCGCTGCGAGATGGACTCCAAATATCGTCATCATCCGAAGTCAGGAGAATCGTTGTTGCCGGGCTGCTTTCCATCTCTGCTGCTGAGTTCTGCATGGTGCTCTGCTATCATCTGCGAAGTGATTCGCTTCGCGGATCTCGCTGCCTTTTCATAGCACCGTCCACTCTCCCACCATTCACGAAAGACCCCACCACCTCTTGGTGGGTGGTGATCACAGCCCCACCACAAGTGAAAGGTGTAAAAAGGGTTAGGTAGAAATTTAACAATTTCAAATATACGCGCCATAACCGACTGCAGCGCTAGTGGCGGCCTCGCGAACTAATTTCAAAAACGCGCGCCATTCACCGACTGCAGCGCCAGTGGCGCCTCTAGCGGCAGCCTTGAGAACTATCGCGTAGAACTCACTTTGTTTATCTACTGACAAGAATAAAAAACTTTCAACAGAATTTTACCAATCTAATGATATATTAATTAATAAACAAAAATAATAGGTATCTTTTTAAAAAAATTCATTTTTTGTACGAAAAATCACTTTTTTCAAAAACGGCTAGACCTATTTAGTTAAAATTTAATTTACGAGCTACTTTTGTACTTCTAATTCGAATTCAAGAGAAAAATTTGAGGTGATATGACTTGTCATTTAAAGTTAGTTCAGGCACTCCTTGGTGATTTTAATTTTGTAAAATAGAAGAGTTCTCTGGAGGTAAGTTCAAAATCGCGGACGAAATTTCCAAAAATTGATTAGATTTGATTTCAAATTGATACTCAGGGGTTTTTGAGGTAGCTGATTACGAATCTGATGCCCATTTTTCAAAATTCAAAATGGCGGATGTAATATGACAGACCTAGTTTTGAAAAAATTGACCAGATTCGCTTGAATTTTGCTTGCGGAGGTATTCGAGATTAATAAATACGAGTCCGATATTTGCTTTTCAAAATTTCAAATGCTGAACGTAATATAGTAGGAGATTTTTAAAAAATTAATATCAAATTTGAAATTTTTAGAAAGTTTCAGGCCCTTTTTAGACTTTTAGCCACGTTTTTGGCGATTTTGACAACTGTGCGTCCGCCAGGTATTAAGAGACGTCACTGTTGGAGTTATTATTGAATAAGAAAAGAAATGTTAATTTATACATTTAATATATTTATAATATCTAATAATTTAACCAGAAATTAATTCAAAATATAAGATTATAAGGGACCTGGAAAAATACCCGATGTATAAGAAGAAATTAAGGCGGTTCCGATATACGTACTGTAATATTTTGTACAGAGCCTTCAGAGTTTGAAAGTTGTGATACAATTATTTTACAACGTAATTTACTATTATCTACAGACCTGTACAAAGCAGTGAAATTTTTTTTGTTTCTTTTCTTAAACGAGCCTATTGGGATCGATGAACCAAAATACGTTCTATCTCTGGTAAAAATTTCGGACTAATTCCGGATTAAATACGGACAGATTAGTACGGATTAGTCCGAAAATTGTACGAAAAAGGTCCGAAAATGATCCGCGCTATTCTGATATCAATCCGAACGAAAACCTGAATCTGAAAACACTCCGGAGTAATCCTGAATGTCTACGTATTCAGTCCGTAATCGAGCGGTGAAGAATTCTTCTAAAATAAGTACGGAATCATCCGAAATCAATATGTAAAGAATACGGAATCGGTCCGCAACAATCCGAGTTTAATCTAGTTAAAAAAACTTAATCCGCAAAATGTCCGGAGCAATCCGAACTCTGTAAGCTAGAAATCCGGTATTAGTCCGCAACAATTTAAAATTAAATGCGGCAAAATCCTATTCCGAAAGAAGTACGAAACAATCCGAAATATGTATGCTAAGAATCCATTAATAGACGGTCACCCGAATCATATTATATTCTTGGTAAAAATTTCAGACTAATCCGGATTAAATCCGAGTATATTAGTGTGGATTATTCCGATAATTGTACGAAAATTATCCGCGTTAATCTAACATCAATCCGAGTGAAATTGTGAATCCTAAATCAGTCTGGAATAATCTTAAATGTCTGAATTAAGTCCGTAATTATTACGCAACAATCCGAAATTATGTCCGTCAAAAAACTCATCTAAAATAGATATGAAATAATCCGAAATCAATATGTAAATAATACGAAATCAGTCAGCAATAATCCGAATTTAATCCAGTTAAAAGATTTAATCCGAAACAAGTATGGAACAATCCAAAATCTGTATGCAAAGAATCCGGTAATAGTCAGCGTCAATCCCGAATAATATCCGATCAAAACACCCCAGTCCGAAAATAAGTCTTATTATTATAAGAATTTGTAAATATATACAATCCACAGACAGTTCAATACAATCCATATTCAATCCAATTCAAAGACTTAATCCGGAATGATTTTAGAACAAAAACCTGTCCATAAGCAGAATGTTTCGGATTAGCTGCGGATTCACTGGTTAAACCAACCGGATTACTTCTGCATTTACTAGTTGCATATGATATGACTAACTGCAGACTAAACCGGACTAATTACGGATTCAATGGTGAGCGTGGTATAGTGGTTAGTGTATTCGATTTCGGTGCGATATAATGTTAGATAGGTGTAGGTTCGAATCCCCAAGCGGTAGAAATTTTAAGTTAATGTAAATAAAATTGCGATAGGTAAATCGAAAAATATGTTGAATGTACTATAAAGTAATAATAATTAATATGTGTAACT